GCTAGAGAGGTGGAGATGGAGAAAGCGAGAGGGGGGGGGGGGGCAGAGGTAAGGAGATGGACAGCGGGAGGGAGAGAGGATCAGAGATGGACGACATCGGACAGAGGAGGAGGGAGAGAGAGAGAGAGAAAGGTGGGCAATAATCGAGGCAATAATAATATCTCGCGAGCCGTAGAGTCCACACCCACACGGGCTGCAATATGCCGCGCAGTAAATAGCCAGTCACGCGGCACGCGGCCATCGGGTATCGCTCGCCACCTCTCAGGGGCTACAATACGGTTGGGGCGCGCGACTGGCACTCGCGCTGCAGACAGGTGAGCGGCCCGAGAGAGTGTGAGGTGAGGTGAAGGCTGATGCAGCTGAAAAACGTAGCGCGCCAGCCTAGCCAAACTGACAGGCAGGCAGGCAGGCAGGCAGGCAGGTAGGCAGGCAGCGGGCGCACGGGGCGCGACGCGGCGCTGTGTGGCCCACGGCCACCGCGGGGTCCTGCGGGGTCCCAATGCCGCGCCACCCAGATGCCTAACTTGCAGAAAAATGGTCGCGTCAATGCGCCGCGCGCCGCCCCGGGCCGCCGCGCCGCATGGCGCCAATTTACCGAGTGCGCCAACCCAGCGCCGCTAACGGGCGACAGGGCTTAACGCCGCCGCTGCCGCCGGCTGCCCTAGTGGGGCGTGGCGCGGAGGGGGCCGTCCCGTTAGCGGAGTTAGCACACGCAATGCCATAGCGCAGCGGTTCCCAACCTTTTCTTGCTCGCGACCCCAAAAAGGACCTAATTTTTTTCGCGACCCCATGGAGTGTACATCGCGACCCCACGCGACCCCACCCCCCCCCCCCCTTAAAAAAACAATAATAATTGGTTACCATAATGTTGATTTTGTTCCTTTTTGATAGGTTTCTAATTTGTCGTTAGCTCACACCCACTAAATGGCCAGTGACAATTTTTGTACAGACTAGATGTGTCTTCGTGCACATCTAAATCAAATACAAATGTTTATCTGATGATGGTGTGAGCAAAGACACATCTTACCTAGGTACAAAAATTATCCCTCCCCATTGACACTGCAGATGTTCGCATTCCTAAAATTTCTTAGAGAAATACTTATTAAATAATAATAAAGCAAAGTGTAGGATGCTACAAGAGAATGTGTTTCGCTGCATTCTCACTTACACTCCTCTGGGTTTCTCGTCTACCGTGCTCCCCACGTGTTCCTGTGGCTAAAGGGTCAACTAGGTATACCTGGGGTCGCGGCCTGGCTGCTGCTGGACCCCTTTTTGTGGAAACATGGAAAAACCACCGGCTGTGCGCCTACCTCAACTGAAACTGGATCGGAAGCGCCAAACAACCGGTGGTTTTTCCATATTTTCGCACAGGAAGACCCCTTCGGTTAGGTCCAGTGGGAGCCTGGCCGCGACCCCAGGCGACCCCCGGCCCCTCGCCGCGACCCCAAAATTTCTTCTCGCGACCCCAAATGGGGTCGCGACCCCGAGGTTGGGAACCGCTGCCATAGCGGGCGCCCCTAGGTGCGCACTCACCGCATCCTCCTCCCGCCCCGGCCCGCTGGGCCCCACTAGAGCCACTGAACCGCAGTGAGCCTGACCATCCCACATCCTGCCTGGCGAGCCCCCTCCCCCTCTCTGCATGCGTTGCGTACCCTGGACGACAGGTCCCTACCCGGCCCGGCCTAGCAGCCACGTGCCGCGTGCCGGTGCCCGCCCCCGCCAAGTACGGAAGGCTTTGCGACCGCCCCGCCGCCCGTCGCCCCGCCGAGCGAATGTCTCCGCCTTCCACGGCAACCGCCCCTTGGGGGAAACACGCCCTCGGGCACCAGCCGGGGCTAGTCGGGGCATCCCCAGCGTCACCAAAGGAGAGTCACCGAGCCGCCATCGTCTCCACAAGGTCACCTTCCGCCCGCACCCCGACGGCCGGGAGACGTTCCTTATCTCGGGCGCGGCGGCAGGCGCCGGGGGGTGGGTGCCAGCCCGGCCAGCCCCAGCTGATGGGGCCGCAGATGGAAGGGTTGAGTGCTGCAGCGCCGCCCCGCCGGCGGAGTCCCGCTATCGCAGTCGAGCAGCGGAGCAGCTCAGCCCGGCCGAGGGGCAGCTCATTATCGGCAGGTAATCGCTCTGCCGACAAGGCGACCGTCACGCCGAGTATTGGCAGGTGACCATTATTTACACAACGCGGCGGAATGCTCTCCGCCGATCTCATCTGGGCGGCCCCGCCGGCGCGGCCGTGCACAGTGCACCAGTATCCGCGGATCCTATCAGCCGCGCGAGATAGCGGCAAAGAGGCCGACCGGGCCACGGGGGGGGGGCCGGGCCCGGGTAAGCCAGCCAGTCCGTATATCAATGAACGGGACCCGCGACCAGCCGGGGTCCCACCAGCGGCCGCCCCGCGCGACATTCCGCGCGGGTCGTCGGACCGCAGCAGCGCCGCCGTGTCACCCACCAGCCCGGCCCGGTCCGGTCCGGTCTGGCCGGCAGTCTGCCAGTGATAATAACAAAGAATAACGACAATAACGTGCAGGCAGGCAGGGGGCCTCGATGGACGTGACGGCGGCCGCCTACCGCGCCGTGGCACTGCCGTGACGCGCATGCCGGCGGCGCGAGGAGCTGCGCGGAGCCTCAGCGGAGCTCGGCCAGCGCTAATTTACGACTCGGGGGCTAATTAGGTCCGAGGGGACGCCTGGCCGGCCAGCCGGGCCCCACGGGGACACCAACTACGTGCTCCACAAAAGACGGGCATGCCGAAGAAGCGCGCGCGGGCGAGAGACCCGCTGCTGCACCACGGAGGCGTTCCGCGTAAAGCGCCCCACCCCAGCCCAGCCTCCCCGGTAATGAAAGTCCGAGGGAGCCGCAGGATGACCAGGCAGTGGGGTAGTCCCCGCCACGGCACGGCAAGGGGTTCTTCTCCGACCGACTCCTTTCCAGTCCTTTCCCGGAAGCGGTGGTGCCCCGACGACTGCTGGAGGGGGCGAGCCAGGCCCCCGCGCGCACGTTTTGCCGAAATGGGCAAAATATCCAGTCCCGGCGCAGTACGGACGGACGTTTGGCCCTCTGGAGAAGCTCCAGCAGCAGCTTCCTGGAGCGGAGATTTCAATGCGCGCAACAGGCAGCAGTCGTCCTGGACCACTCTACCCATCCGCGGCCGCCATCTCATGGGCAGCACAGGACGAATAAACTTTCAGAGTCCTCCAGCGGCCACAGCCACTGATCCGGTTTCCGTCGCGGGGCATCGATTCGCCTCCTTTGTTCAGCGGCGGCGGCGGGCAGCAGCCTGCACGGCCCGCACGTTGCACAGCGCAACCATTATTAGCGAGTGGTCACCGCGCCGAGAACGAGCGAGAATGCCGATCAGATATCGATCGCCAAGGAATCGAAATAAGACGAATGCGGAAATCCCCCCCGTCCCACCTCCTTCCGTCGCGTCCGCGAGAATTAAATGGGAACCGGTCTCACAGTAAATGTGTGAGAAAAATAAGAAATAATAGCAACAAAGATTATTCGACAGATTTGGACCTGACGATATCACCGAAGCGGTGGACTCCAGCAGAGCCGCCTCTCCGAGCGGAGCTCTCCAGAGGTGACCACACCACCACCACTGCGCAGTACATATCGTGAGAAAAAATCAAAACCAAACCCTTATAACGGATTGCGGATGGCGAAAAAGTAATCTCTGAACGACTTGTGTGTCTCTCTCTCTCCCTCCTGCAGCAGAGCACCGCACCGTACTGCATCCTGGGCAGCACGGTTGCGCACTGGGTGAGCTCGAGCAGCACACACGCCACGCCCCATCGGGCGGGTGACCAGCGGACGCCTGTCACCGGGAGGCCACTTTGGGGTTAGAAAGCGTAAAACCGGATGGCACCACGGCAACGTCTAAAGCAGAACTGTAGCACTGCACGGGGACTCACTCGACACAACAACAGACACAAAAACACACGCAAAGAGACACACGCGCGCGCGCACTGACACGACCGCGGCGCACACGCGAGACGCGAGCGGGCGCGCGAGAGGCACAGACACAGCGGCGGGCAGGCTACGGTCCGCACGGCAACGCGGCTGCAGCGCGACTGAATGCCTAGCTAGAGAGACCGGCGGGCGGGGCGGGGCGGGGCGGGGCGCGGGGCGTGGCGGGCCGCGGAGACTCCTCCGGCAGTGGCGGGGGCACGACGTCGACTTCGACGTCGGCGGTGGAGGAGGTGCGGTGGCAACCGGCAGGAAAAAGAAGAGACTGCGAAATCTCCTGGCGGTTCTCTCTTTCTTACCCTCTCGCTCGCTGCAACGAGCAGTGAGCAGACGGCGACATGCTCGCTGCAGCCGCTGTTGCCAGGTCGGAGGAAATGCCCTCCCTGCGTCCCGCCTGCGGCCAACAAGTGTCTCAACTTCTTGAAGGGCGTGTCCAAGGGCCCCCGCGGCCACAGCTCGCATCTCGTCCCGCCCCGCGCGCGTATGTACCTTCTGTAAAGACAATACACCGCAGTGTTGCGGGTTTGCCTACCCGATCTGCCCGTCAGGCGCCATAGTCCCTTGGGTATGCGAACCCGCAACACGGGGGAGTGTTAGCCTTTACACTCCGTACACCGGCAAGCTCCTGACAGAGGACCCAAACTAGGGAGGGCCGATCTGCTCCGTCACCAGTGCCGATCAGGGGGGGCCTGCGCAAAGGCCGACGCGCGCCGCCTCCGCGGAGGGACACAAGGGACACACGTGTTGTCATTCATTGTCGTGGATGTTGCCGCACGGCGCCGCCCTCCCCCGACCCCTCCTCGGGGCCCGCCTCGCCTTGACACAGTCCAGTCCGCGACGTGGGAGGTGGTGCAGGACGGCGAGTCACTCCAGGACCAGGACCCCGTCAGCTGATTGCCAGGGCGGCGGCAGATGCCCGGCAGACAGACAGTGGCCACTGACTTTCTCAGCGCCGCAACCACTAGAGCTTAAAAGTGCAAGCAGCCAGGCCGCGGAAGGCGCGGCGCGGGCGCGGGTCTCCTCGGAGACAAGTGCACTTTGGACGGCCTCGTGCCTGCACTGTACATAATCCCAGCTGTTTAGCATCCATCCTACGCCGAGGAGGCGGGCAGGCGCGGCCAGAGCCTCCGGCCCAGCCGGTGGCACCAGCGCTGAGGAAGGAAGAGGTGAACGAACACACGACGCCGCTCCCTGCACCGGGCGTGGCCTGGCCGACGCGAGCCTGGCCAACGGGTGAAAAGTATGTTCAACTCATCCCGGCCTGCCCTTCCCTCCCCCGCTCGCTGCTGCCCGCCAGCTCGGCCTGCGCGGCCGCGGCCCCCGGCGGCACCGGATGTACCGGTCGCCTCTGGTCGCGGCTCAGCGCGCCGGGACGGGCGGGGCGCGGCGCGGCGTTGGGGGGATGGCGATGGGGCGGCCTGACGCGACGCAGCCCGACGGTACATCCAGTCCAGCAGGTGGGTTCGCCTCCCCCGCCCCACCTGCGCCCCACCGAGATTCACCCCCCTTCCTGTCTCGCGTGGCCCTGATAGGGGTTCGGCTTCCAGGGGGCCTGCTCCGGTTCGGCGTGGCGCCTCCCAACGACCAGCAGTCCGGCTTCCTCCGGCTTCCTTCGCTTCCCTCTCGTAGCTCTGCGGCGACACTCCCCCTTTCTCCCCGACGCCCTTGTCAAACCCTATTGGTTCGACGACCGGGCGCGAGCGGGCCGCCGCCCCGCCGCCCTCTTCCCCCTTCTCCCTCATAACCACGCACCCGTCGCGGGGAAAGTGCAGCGCTGCAGAGAGGGCTCCGCGGCGAGCGCGACATACCTGCAATAGCAGACACAACACCAGGACCGACCGAGACGGCGCAATGTGGCGCGCAGCTGCACTGCTTGCTGCTGGACCCGATCGCAAACCCGGCGTGCTTCCGGCCGGCGTGTCATCCCGTCGCCCACCGTGTGCCGGCCCGTGACAACAACCAGCCCAGGCCGGGGTCAACGCTTGCCCCCCGCCCCCTCCGCCGCGGAGGGGTTACGCCCGCGCGAAAGGCGCGCACCACACGCCGTGCGCCCCGCCCCGCCCCGCCGCCACCCTCCCCGTCATAAAATGGTTGCAATCACGCGGGACACGCTGGCCGGCTGGCCGCGGGTCAGCCCTGGTGGGCGCGGCGGCAAGCGGCAACTGATTGCCAGGAAAACAACAAAAACAACGAACACGGCGCTGCTGGTCGATGCCAAGTCATTAATCCACGCCACGACGCAAAGAGGCACGTGCAGTGGGGCTCCATTTATTTATCGGTACTGGTAGGATATAGATAAAACTAGTCGCGCATCGGCAGGAATGACGCATCCCCCGGGCGGAGCTGACGCCTGACGGCGTGCTCCACAGCGGCGCGGCCGGCGCAGAGGCTCTTGCAGCACACACCTGCAGGTGCGCTGCGCAGGCAGCTGCGGCACCTGCAGGTGGTGCGGTAGGCCCCGGCAGCGGCAGAAGCAGCACAGCACACACCTGCAGGTGCGCTGCGCAGGCAGCTGCGGCACCTGCAGGTGGTGCGGTAGGCCCC